TGTTAGCTCTCATCCAGTCCGACACAGCAGCTAGACACCGATTCAAGGTCTGGACAGCCTCCTTGGTGACAGGTGAGGAGTGACAGATTTGGACGTCATCTGCATAGAGATAGCATCTTAGTCCGAAACTCCGAATGATCTCTCCCAATGGCTTCATGTAGATGTTAAATAACATCGGGGACAAGATTGAACCCTGTGGGACTCCACACAACAATGGTTGTGGGGCCGAACAGGTGTCACCCAATAACACCTTCTGGGTCCGTCCCTCTAGGAAGGATCGGAGCCACCGCAAAGCAGTGCCTCCGAGCCCCATATCCATGAGGCGGCCCAGAAGGATACCGTGATCGACGGTATCGAAGGCCGCTGAGAGGTCCAGCAGAACTAACAGGGACACACTCCCCCTGTTGAGCTCCCGGTGAAGATCATCAACTAAGGCGACCAAGACTGTTTCAGTTCCATGTCCTGGCCTAAAACCAGACTGTGCCGAATCCAGATAATCAGTGTCTACCAGAAACCCCTGGAGTTGTGTTGCCACCACACGTTCCATGACTTTGCCCAAATAGGGGAGATTGGAAACTGGCCGATAGTTGTCGAATTGAGTGGGATCCAGTGATGGTTTCTTCAACAGCGGTTTTATAATAGCCTGTTTTAGGCTCACTGGAAACTCTCCTTTCTGTAAGGAGGTATTAACCATCACCTTCACCCACCCCGCCAAACCCCCTCTGGCTTCCTTGACCAGCCAGGAAGGGCAGGGGTCTAGGATGCATGTGGTGGGTCGCACCTCTCCAAGGATCCTGTCCACATCCTCAAGCTGAACCAATTGAAACGAATCCAACAAAACTGGACAAGCAGGTGCTCTCGTTACATCCCCAGGAACTGCCGTTAACATGACGTCGAATCCAGACCGAATCCGCTCAATTTTATCCGCGAAGGATCGAGCAAATGCTTCACAGCGAGCCACCGAGTTATCCAAGGCCTCGCTTTTTGGCGGATTTAACAGGCCCCTGACAACTCGAAAAAGCTCAGCTGGACGATTCTTCGCTGATGCAATATTGGCTGTGATGAATGTTTTCTGAGCTGCCTCTATTGCCACACCGTAGGACCTTAAAAAGGACCTGAGGTGTGTTTGGGCTGGATTGGTGGGATTCTGGCGCCACACGCGCTCTAGCCTCCTCTTCTTTCGCTTCATCGCTGCCAGCTCCTCAGTAAACCAAGAAGCTGGTTTAGCTCGGTTACTCGAGAGGGGGCGTTCCGGAGCGATAGTGTCAATTGCCCTGGTCAACTCACTATTCCAGCCAGAGACCAGAGCATCGACAGTGTCGCTAGCCAAGAAGGTGGAAAAATCCCCAAGAGCCGTCAGGAAACCATTTGGATCCATCAGTCTCCTGGGGCGGACCATTCTAATGGGTCCACCACCCTTGCGGAGGTTGGGAGGCACAGTTAGTCTAAAACTGATCAGGTGGTGATCGGTCCATGGCAAAGGGGCGATGGTCGGCTCCTCCATTCCGTCACCCTCATCCCATCCCTGCATGAAGACCAAATCCAAGGTGTGTCCGGCACTATGGGTGGGACCAGATATTAGTTGGGACAGGCCCATGGTTGCCATGGCGGCCATGAAGTCCTGAGCCGCTCCAGAGAGAGTGGCCTCGGCATGGATGTTGAAATCTCCCAGGACCAAAAGCCGTTGGGAGTTCAACACCATGTCCGAGACCACTCCCGCTAGCTCAGGTAGGGAGACTGTAGTGCAGCGGGGTGGTCGGTACACTAACAGAATCCCTATCCTGTCCCGGTCACCTATCCTAAAGCCGGCACATTCAAAGGAAGATGATTGTGGGATGGGACACCTGATCAGTGGGATATAGTCCTTATAGACCACTGCGACTCCGCCTCCCCGCCCTCCAAGCCTTGGTTGGTGCTGAACAGAGTAACCTGGTGGACAGAGTTGGGAGAGATTAACCCCCCCCCCTCGTCCAACCAGGTTTCCGTTATACAGGCCAGGTCGGCTCGTTCTTCTTGGATTAGATCTTGTATAATAGAAGTTTTCCCATTTACCGACCTGGCATTGAACAGCACCACCTTTAGCCTGGAGGGGCCACCATCTTGGCACCTCAGTTGTATTTTGTCGGGAGTAGGTTTTGGAATTGCCAATCTATTTTTGTTACTTTCGGGCCGAATAGTAGTGTTGATTTTTGGAATTGCCAATGTCCTATTAATGATTTTGGGCCGAATTTGCTTTTGTCTTTGATTTCTAGCATCTTTAGGAATAGCCAATTTATTGCTGTAAATTTTGGGCCGAAATGGAAATTTTATTCTCCCTTTCCCGTATCTCCCCCTACCAGTCACCACCTCTATGGCGGCTCCCCCACCCACGGTCCCAGCCCCCCCGGGGATATTCCCTTCATTTCCAGCAGCTGTAATCTTATTAGTAGGCACATGCTTACCATTCTTATTATCTGTCTCTGGGTTCCGGTGATTCCATCCCTTAATATTGACCATTCCCTCTAGTATATCGAGGACTGTAAAGTGCACTCGTGCTGAAGCTGGAACAAAGTGCACTTGTGCTAAGATTGTTATAAAGTGCACTTGTGCTAGAGGTTGGAGGGATAGCAGTAGCAGTAAAGGCAGAGCAAGCATTGACATAAGGGTAACAATAATATATCGATGTTAACAATAATAAGCTTACTCCAATTAATAAGGGAACCCAGAGTAAAAAAAAAGCATAAAGTGCAATTTTTCCGTAGTGATATGGTTCTGATATAAGGACCAAAGAGCTTAAATTAAAGTGACTTCGTGCTGAATAGTTCTAAAACTTCTTTAAGGTGCAGCTAATGCAGAGTTTACTGGCTTCTAGAGTGAAACCACTTTCCTCCCACTAGGTCAGGACAACAATTCACACCAGGAAACCCCAGCTCCCTAGGCCCGTGGAGCAACAAACCGGCACCCAGGGGCAGATCTCTCGGTCTTCTTGATTGTCTATAGTGGGGAATTCTCCAACAGAATAGATGATAGTCTGTATAGTGAAGGCAGTATCTGCAATTGTTACTAATTAACAGCACGCTTCATAGGTTGTCCATTGTGTGATAAAAATTATTGCACTTTTTATCTAAGCCGCAGAGGGCAGTATAGGGAACGAATGCCTAGTTCTTTAGTATGGAGCTCTACCGATTACAATTAAAACCCTGAATCATGAGGGGACAGAACTTCCGGTTTTCTATTTAGGCTCAACTGTCCACGATGTAAAGTCTTATTTTGAGCCCAAGCACCGCAATATGATGTCACTTATTGTTCGTTATTGCTGTCATTCTATACAATACAATAATATAATACAATAATGTCACAGTTCACCAAAATCACATACATATACTCATTATCACACACTATCAGCAATAACGCGGTAGATGGTATTCTAAGATGGCGGCTAGAGGTAGAACTATGCTGACAAGTCGCCTCCCGATAGAAAGGGGAAGTCTTTAAACTCCAAATGGTGGATTCTCCCGGCCGAAACAGTCACAGCAACAGCGTGTCGGTCAAAGACAGCAGCGACGCTGAGCGACCGAAGGTGACCCGGCTGGCGTGTGACCGAGTGCTGGAGGGTGGGCGTAGAATCCCAGAGCGCCTGGACTGGAGCCGCAGGCCCGCGCGCTGCGCGCCGGCGGGAGGGGAGCGGATGGGAACGATGGGGCTTACCGGGCCCGAAGGGGAGCTGCAAGGTCGGTGGGAGGCAGGCGGGCGGCGCCGTGAGGCCTACCAGGCCCGGGAGGGCGCTGCCGGCCTCGTCTTCTTCTCCTCTCCTCTTCTCCTCCTCCCCTGGTCGACGGGAGGAGGGGGCGGGTGGAATGCTGGGGCCTACTGGGCCCAAGGGGGGGCTGCCGGACCGGCGGGAGGAAGGCGGGCGGCGTAATGGGGTCTATCAAGCCCGGGAGGGCGCCGCCGGCCTCGTCCTCCTCTCCTCTCCACTTCTCCTCCTCCCCTGATCGGCGGGAGGAGGGCAGATGAAACGCTGGGGCCTGCCGGGCCCGGAGGGGAACTGCCGAATCGGCGGGAGGAAGGGCGGCGCAATGGGCCTACCAGGCCCGGGAGGGGCCGTCGGCCTCGTCCTCTTCTCCTCTCTCCTTCTCCTCCTCCCCTGGTCGGCGGGAGGAGGGCGGATGGAACTCCGGGGAGGAGTAGGGTGGCACCCGGAAGACGACGGCGGCGGCGGCGGCCCGTCTCCTCTCGGCCTCCTGGCCGCCCGGCTGCCTGGCCGCCTCCTTCAAGGCGCCAAAATGGCGACCGCAGCAGCCGCCAGTTGACAAGAATGACTGTCAACTGGAAATAGAGGGAGAAAATGTGGAGGCCGTGACAGACTTTGTATTTCTAGGTGCAAAGATTACTGCAGATGCAGACTGCAGGAAATCAGAAGACGCCAAAAGACTTGGGAGGAGAGCAATGACCAATCTTAATAAAATAATGAAGAGTAGAGACATCACACTGGCAACAAAGATCTGCATAGTTAAAGCAATGGTATTCCCCGTAGTAACCTACGGATGTGAGAGTGGACCATAAGGAAGGCTGAGCAAAGGAAGATAGATGCTTTTGAGCTGTGGTGTTGGAGGAAAGTTCTGAGAGTGCCTTGGACTGTGAGAAGATCCAACCAATCCATCCTCCAGGAAATAAAGCCCAGCTGCTCATTGGAGAGAAGGATATTAGAGGCAAAGATGGATGATGATGATGATGATTATTATGGCAGTGCTGGGGAAAGTGGAAGGCAAAAGGAAGAGGGGCCGACCAAGGGCAAGATGGATGGATGGCATCCTTGAAGTGACTGGACTGACCTTGAAGGAGCTGGGGGTGGTGACGGCCGACAGGGAGCTTTGGTGTGGGCTGGTCCATGAGGTCACGAAGAGTCGGAGACGACTGAACGAATGAACAACAACAAGCCAAAATGAAAGTTTCATTACTTTCTTAATATTAGAAATATGATTTTTATCATGAATTTTATACACTCTGTTTTGGTTCTACTGTTGACAGCAATGTTCAACAAAAACAAGGTGGAAAATGGTTAAGAAAGTATCAGAAAGGCATATGGAATCAATGCAATGCTTTCAGTGTGGCATTGTTGGCTTACCTTTGTATACTATTAATGGGAATGGGCAAATTATGGACATCAGCTGGGAATCCTCCTAGTTGGGTGCCAAAGCCAGGTTGCATGACTGGAGGCCACATGGAAAAGCCAGCCTGAGGTGGAATAGCTGCTATCCCAGGAGTAGGGTAGTGATGATGATGTATGGTTGAAGGCCGTGGCTTCTCTGCTCTTACCAAAACAGGGGCAGCAAGCTACGTATGGTTTCGAAAGAAGAGCATATGTATTATTGAGCATTACTATCTTACAGGGCAGGCAAAGGTGAGTTCTAGACAGGCATTAGGTTCCCTGTGTTGTTGCTTAACAACCTTGTTATCTGTATTTCAGGCTTACAAACAATTTAACCTTAACTCTCAAAAACAATACATCTTTCTTATTGCAAGATTTGTAGCATGGCTGTTTCTCTTATGTTTTATTCTTGAAAATCTTAGCAAATGTAGGCATTTCCTAAGTCCCCTTCTACGCTGCCATATAATCCAGTTCAAAGCAGATAATGTGGATTTTATATGGCAGTGTAGAAGGGGCCGAAGTGTTCTGTTCAGGTTTCAGCTTTGAACTTTCCAAGTATCAAAATCCATATACTGTATTTCACTGCCTTACTGATGGCAGGAGCTACTTTGTTGTCGCTTGCATGGTTTCAATCTGTTAGCAGCAAAATGACTTTATTTCCAAGATTCTGGAGGACTGAATATAGTATTGAGGAATCTCTGCTTTATTGATACTGTCCAGCCAATTAATATAGCATCATTGTTATAGTTGGCATATGGCCACTAAATTGATTAAGATTGGTATGGGGAACAGATCTAGGATTTAATAATAATAATAATAATAATAATAATAATAATAATAATAATAATCAGAACATATTATTATTATTATTAATAATAATAATAATAATAATAATAATAATAATAATAATAATATCCTGTTTTTCTCCCTAATGGGACCCAAAGTGGCTAACAACATAATGCAATATAAATCAAAGCATGTTTAACATAAAATACAAGACAAAAATCACACAAAGCATAATAAAGTACTGAAATAAGATATAAATAAAGATTAAGCATTAAAAACTTTTAAAACCAATTACAATTATTGTGAAGACTCATCAATTAAATAGTATATTTCGCTAAGCTCAGTGCAAATCGACAGGTAGGTCTTCAACTTATTCTTGAAAAATAACACGGAAGGGGCAGTTTTAATCTCAATGGGGAGGGAGTTCCAAAGGGCCAGGGTGGCTACTGAGAAGGCCTCTCTCTCATTGCTGCCAACCATATTTGTGATGGTGGCAGCAACAAAAGAAGGGTCTTAATGATCGGGCAGGTTGGTGAGAGGCTTTTAGAAGAGAAACAATGAGACTTAATCTGGGAAACTCAAGCTTATAAATCAATTTCTGTGCAACCGAGAGAAAATACTTTGAAAATTATACATAGATGGTACCACTATCCACTTAAACTACATAGAATTAATAGCACAATTCCTAAACTATGTTGGAGAAAGAGTGGAGAAATAGGGGATTGGACCCACTTGTGGCTAATATGCCTCAGTATAGAGATTCTGGGATGAAGTTCTACCATGGATACAACAAATGGTTCTATTACTGATCTCTGTATTCAAAAATGAGAATAAGGATTTGGTAAATAAAAATCTTATATCACTCATGCAGTGTGCTGCAAGACTCAAAATAGTCAGAACATGAAAAAAAATCTCTCTCTATCTATATATATATATGTAATGTTCGTTTGTGGGATTAACATAGCTCAAAAACCACTTTGGATGAATTGACACCAAATGTGGACACAATACACCTATCAGGCCAACGAGTGACCATCACTCATAAAAACACTGAAAAACACAGCAGAAGAGACTTAAAAAGCCAAAAAATAAAAATACATTACAATGCATGTGCAAATCCACATATATACACACACATATACTCACAAAATACATATACATAGATTGGGCCACACACAACACATACACAGAAAGGGAAGGAAGGAAGGAAAGAGAAAAGGAAAGAGAGGAAGGAGAGAAGGAACAAAAGAGAGAAAGAAGGAAGGAAGGGGACAAGGAAGGATGGAACCAAAGAGCAAAGGGAGCAAGAAAAGAAACAGGTAGAGAGAAAGAAAAAGTGGGAAGGAAGGAAAGAGGGAAGGAAGAGGGAAGGACGGAGAGAAAGAAAGAAGAAGAGAAAGAGGGAGGGAAGGTTGGCTACAGCAACACATGGCGGGTACAGCTAGTTTATCAATAAATATTGATTAAATACAATATGGGCACTCTCAAAAACATTAACCTATAAATTGAGATTAGCATAAGGAGAAATAAAAAGAAGACCTATTTGACCTATTTATTTATTTATTATTTGAACTTATATGCCGCCACTCCCTTGGGGTTCGGAGCGGCTTACAAGAATAGCTAAAATCTAACAAAATTTAAAAGCAATTTAAAACAATTTAAAAACAATATCAAACATTAAAAGCCTGTCGAAACAGGTATGTCTTACATGCCCTGCAGAAAGCTGGTAAGTCCCGCAAGGCACGGACTTCAGGTGGCAGAGTATTCCAGAGTGATGGTGCCACTGCTGTGAAGGCTCTGCGTCTGGTTGCTGTTAGACGCAAGGTCTTGACACTGGGAATTTCCAATAGATCTTGGTCCTCAGAACGGAGGGATCTCTGGGGTTGGTAGGGGGTGAGGCGGTCCCTCAGGTACATCGGCCCCAGACCATGCAAGGCCTTAAAGGTGAGTACCATCACTTTGAAAGTGATCCGGTGCTCAATTGGTAACCAATGCAGCTGTAGTAAGATTGGTGTTATGTGGCATCTCATCGGAATTCCATGGAAGCCATTTATTAGAAATATGTACAGAAGTTACGGCCAATTTCAGCCATCGAACGATCAAGAAAAAGTATAGGTAAACAATTAGAAAAACAAACCAAAGGAACTATATGTAATGGAGAAAATTAGAATAACTGAACACAAGAGAACTGACAGAGCTGTATTTGTGTGTGTGTGTGTGTGTGTATAAATGATGGATGCGGGGGAGTAGAGAGATGGGAAAGTCAGTGTAATTATGCAATTGTACTGTCTTAAACCTTTTAAAATTAAAAAAAATTAAAAATAGTTGGTATATGAAAGCTGATGAATCAAACTCTGCTGCCAAAGATAAACCTGAATTTCCAGCTTCTTAGTTACCATCTGGTAATATTTGAAGTCCTGTTAAAAACACATTTACCTGCTGCCCAGGTTGAAGAACAGGACCTCCATGTCCATTTGCTGGTGAATACACAGGTGGCGGTAGGGACTTCAGCATCATGTTCTGCATAATGATCTGGTGCATCTGCGCATTTTGCATTAACATCATCTCCACCATATCTGGAAAAGCATGAACGACAATATCATGAGGCCATTTCTTGTGGTCTTCTACTGATATTATAGTGGAATGCAAGGGAAAACAGCAGCCACGAAAAGCACAGAGATGCTAGCCTGGCACCCCTGACGATTCCCAGTTCTGACCATGAAGGTAGTTTACCATGTAGTGGTATCCCTAGGGGGTGCAATTTAAATGTGTGGGCACTATCAGAGGGAGGGATGCTGAAATGACTGTCTTCCCCGGAGAGGGTGTCCTCCTGGGCTCTCCACCTGCTCCAAGTGGCAAAAGCAATGGATGGGACTGTGGCACAGCTGACTGGGAGTCACCTGCATTAAGGTCACTACTGATCAAAAGGTCATGAGTTCAAAGCCAGCCTGGGTCGGAGTGAGCTTCGGACCATTTGTCTAGCTTGCTGTTGACCTTTGCAGCCCGAAAGACAGTTGCATCTGTCAAGTAGGAAATTTAGGTACCGCCTATGCGGGGAGGGTAATTTAACTAATTTGTGATGCCATAAAATCTCCAGCAAACATGTAAAGAATAAAGAAGTACAGCATCAGTGTCACAAATGGATGGTGAAGCGATAGCTCCCCTGGTGGCCAGAATACCCTCATGAAGCTGGAATGTTAAATAACCTCTGTGTGTCTGTCTATGTTGTGTGTCTATGGCATTGAATGTTTGCCATGTATATGTACATTGTAATCTGCCCTGAGTCCCCTGTGGGGTGAGAAGGGCAGAATATAAATACTCTAAATAAATAAATAAATGACTCCCTTTTCTCTCCTTTCCACCTGCAGTCCTTGCCCCTCTCAGCCAGAGTCTCCTTTCCTCCCATGGAGCTGAATCAGAAACTGGCCCAATACCACAGCATTTTTCAAATAATATTCCCCAGCACTGCCTGCTGCTAGAACAATGACTGGTGGACAAGGTGATGTCTGTCCAGGATAGCCGCTTTGTCTTTTCTGCTGTTTCCATAGTTCCCAGCCAACTTATGCTGGAGTATGCTCAGTTTGGGACAGTGTGGGCTTCCAGTTGCCACGGGCTGCTTCTCTTCCCTTTGCTGCCCTTCCCTGCCCTTGTCCTGTGTAACAACAACTCTAGTGGCACCGCCAACTGGCACCACCAATAGTTTTCTGCTGCGTGTGAGCGCTAGTCAAGACAGACAAACAACAGTCACAGTAGTGACCACTGTTTCCTATCTCATCTTTGGGGCATGATGAAAGCATTCCTCTCCATACCTAGATGTCAATGTATACATCTCACACCGATAGAGCATAGGATCCGGGGCTGGATCTACAGAAACTCATTGCTTTGTTACCTTTTTTAAAACCTGAAAAACACTTCACACCTTTCCTATACTTAATCTACTTTGACCTTAGAATGGGTTATTTAATTGGGACCTGAGGTAGATAGCTGCCAAGGCCTGGAAATTTCAATTGGTACAATGGGCGGCAGCCAGGTTACTAACTGGTGTGACTTACAGGAAGCAGTCAACCGCCCTGTTTAAAGAGCTCCACTGGCTGCCGTTCATTTTCCGGTCCCAATTCAAGGTGCAGGTTCTTACCTACAAAGCCCTGAACGGTTTGGGAGTCGCCTACCTGTGTGACCACATTTCTGTTTACAAACCCACTCGATCTCTTCGATCATCTGGTGAGGCACTGCTCTCGCTCCCACACCCTTCGCAGGCACGATTGGTGGGGACCATAGAAGTTATTAGCCCCTCAACTCTGGAACTCACTCCCAAAGGACATCAGGCATGCCCCAACTCTAGCAGTCTTTAGGAAGAGTCTGAAAACATGGTTGTTCCAGTGTGCCTTCCCAGAATAAGGAAACTCCCAGCAATATGTCCTCAAATGCACTTTATTAATGATCTAGGATTGACTGCACTCCCTCATCTCTTTTAAAACCCTATACCAGATATATCCTATCTTGTTCATTCCCAGGGTTTATTTTTTAAAATTTTAAACTATTACCTTTGGCTCGGCCATAGGTTTTAAATCCTTGTGTGTTGCTGTTTATTGGTTATTGTTTATATGTGATTTATAGACTACTGCAACACTTTCTACGTGGGGTTGCCTTTGAAGACTGCTCGGAAGCTTCAAATGGTCCAGCGTTCGGCAGCCAGGTTGCTAACAGGAGCGGCACTCAGGGAGCATACTACTCCTCTGTTGCGCCAGCTCCACTGGCTGCCAGTTTGCTACCGGGCACAATTCAAAGTGCTGTCGTTAGCCTATAAAGCCCTAAACGGTTCTGGCCCTACTTACCTCTCCGAATGCATCTCCTCCTATGAACCGACTAGGACACTAAGATCATCTGGGGAGGCCCTGCTCTCTGTCCCGCCTGCATCACAGGCGCGCTTGGCGGGGACGAGAGACAGGGCCTTCTCAGTGGTGGCCCCTCGGCTGTGGAACGCCTTGCCTGCAGATATCAGATCGGCCCCCTCCCTGCTGGCGTTTCGGAGGAAAGTGAAGACCTGGCTGTTTGAACAAGCATTTGATTAAACAGTGTAATTGAACATAGGAATACGGAATAATGGATGATGAGACTGGATTCTGATTTTACTGTTGAGGCGCTAATGATTGTTATACTGATGTTTAATGATTTATGTAACAATTGTTTTTAATTGCCCTATACTTGTCTCATGATGTTTTGTATCGAGGTTGTTCACCGCTTTGAGTCGCCTGAGGGCTGTTTATTGGTTATTGTTTATATGTGATTTATATTAATTGTATTGTATTTATGGTTTTGTTTATTGCTTTTTGTTTTTATTGATGTGTTGTTGGGCTTGGCCTCATGTAAGCCGCTCCGAGTCCCTTGGGGAGATGGTGGCGGGGTATAAATAAAGTATTATTATTATTATTATTATTATTATTATTATTGTGTTCATCATATTCTGAAGAGAAATCCAAAACAGACCCAAAATCTCCTCTTCCTGCCCCTTTCCACAGCCACATATTGCAAATATGGTGGCAGGCCCATCTTTAGCTTTCTCTCAATTTCCCTGAAGACCAGTCCCATTATTGTCAACCGGGATTATTCCTAGGTAAATATAGCAGTGCTCACCTTCTTTAATACTCCCAGAGCGAGGGGCTGGAAAAGGCTGTGGAGGTGGAATCTGAGTAATGAGTGGTGATTGCTGAGGTATCTGTTGAATAATAGTAGCTGGTTGAGGAGGCAACTTCGAAAAGAAAAAGGCAAACAGAAAAGGCAGTGACTCAATGGTTCTGTCCATGGAAATGTTCAGTATATTAAATGAACATAGGTTTGGTACTTAGCTCAGATTAACTATGCTACTAATTAATAATCTTTTAGAGGGTCATCCACACCTGCCTTTAAATCTGCAAGACATTTTGGGAAAGCAAGTCAAGGACATATAAGACTAATTCAGGTCCATCTGTGTAGAGAACTATGTCCACCTCTGTTATGGTTTTATACTGTTTTAATGTTCAATTTGTATTTTGTTGTTATGTGTATTGACTTGTTGTAAACCGCCTTGCGTCGCTGATAAGGCTGAGAAAGGTGGTATACAAGTATAGTAACTAAATAAATAATAAATAAATAATCATAGTACAAAGGCTATCCAGGTTTCTTGGGGTCATTATCATTGTTAATGATAACATTATCATGGCTTATCATTGTTATTTGGTAAACTAAGCCCTTTCTACACTGTCATAAAAAATCCAGATTATCTGCTTTGAACTGGATTATATGGCTGTGTAGACTAATATAATCCAAATCAAAGCAGATAGTCTGGATTTTATATGGGCGTATAGATGGGGCTTAAGATTGATTGAAAGACGGCATAAAGAATGGGGGTGGATATTATGGGGAGGCGGGTGTGGGAGGGGGATGGTAACTAGACTCCTATAGGTCCTATAGTAACTTTCTTCGGCCAGCACCTTAATCACTCTGACTTGGACACCACCTCAGCCCTGTTGACTTGTAAATGCCTTTTTACTTTTAATGTTTTGAGTGTTTGCTATCATTAGATCTAGTAGTAAACATGTTCTAAATGTTTGATTTATATATTTAAATGTCTAAGTTTGTTATTTTTGAGTTGTTCTATAAGTACACCTGATGTTGTTTATTTCATTGTTTATGATTTGATTTGTTTGTTATGTTATGCTGGCATTGAATGTTTGCCAATTTTCTGTTGCAAACCGCCCTGAGTCCCCTCGGGGATAGGGTGGTATAGAAATAAAGACTATTATTATTATTATTATTATTATTATTATTATTATTATTAAATCTGCAGAAGTCAAAAGGGATGACTGTACTCCACTTTGAAGGTGTAAATATGTAAAACTTTTTAAATCCGTCCATACTGGCTATTGTTCATTCCTCATGCAGGAGCGCTAGAAACAATATCATACGAAAGCTGACTGGCACAACCTGGGGATCACAACCAGACACAGTGAAGACATCTGCCCTTGCACTATGCTACTCTGCTGCTGAGTACGCATGCCCAGTGTGGAACACATCTCACCACACTAAAACAGTGGATGTGGCTCTTAATGAGACATGCCGCATTATCACAGGGTGTCTGTGCCCTACACCACTGGAGAAATTACACTGCTTAGCCGGTATTGCACCACCTGACATCCGCCGAAGTAGCAGCCAATAGTGAAAGGACCAAGGCAGTGACATCTCCAGATCATCCCCTGTTTGGGTATCAGCCAGCACGTCAATGACTTAAATCAAGAAATAGTTTTCTAAATCTACAGATGCACCCTGAGCCCTGCCGCATGCACAAGGGAGGACCTTCTTGCGGCAACACCAGAGGCACTCCAAGTGGCCAGATACTGGTCAAAGGACATTTAATAAACTACCAAGTTTGCAAAATTTGTGGGGTTTTTTTTATCTGTTTGTTTTGTTCTGTTAGAAATGTAATACAATGGTATGGTTGCTGATGACCACGCCTGGGTGTTTGCTCTGGCCGCCGTCGCTGGGAGGACTTGGGCCGCCATTACTTGGAGGACTCGGGACGGCCGCTTGGAGGACTCGGGCGGCCGCCATTGCTTGGAGGACTCGGGCGGCCGCCATTATTTGATACATCTCCTGCCAGCTCCTCTGCGGCCTGGAGGCGGGATTTTCTGCGTCTCCAGTTTGGCGCCTTCGCTGCGTCCCCCCCACCTTCCTCCTGCTGGAGGCCCGGGCGTGGCCTAGCAGTTGGCGTGGCCCAACAGGTCGGCGCTTTCCTGCATTTCCATCGGCCTTCCACCCTGTGGGCCTTCTTGGCTTCAGCCAGCCTCCCATCGTTGCTTGGCCTCGACTGTTTGGCGGTCCGACTGTTCTGTCCGTGTATATGACTGTGTTGTCTGTATATTTGACGCCCTCCATCGCGTCTATCGCTACTATCTACGGAAGGACCAATAGTAACCATCCACTGATTTGCATTTGTCATCCATTGTTTACATCTGCAAACTACAACTTCTTTACCTATAACAACTGTACCTAACCATCCACTGATTTTCAGTTGTCATCCATTGTTCTGTAACTGTATGCTATAACAACCTCACCAATAACAACTGTACCTAGACGGGAATTGGTAAGCAGAGGGACCATTTGCACTACAAACTGTAACTGAATTGTCTGCAAGTCTGTAAGCCCGCCCAGCGTAGCACCTTATCTACCTCCCTGTACCTGTTCTGCTGCTAGTTGCTACTAATTTATCCATCTTTAGCACTTTCCCTCCATGCCGCACTTTAACTAGTATTGGTTAAATACTAGCAACACTATTGCACTTTAAGATTCTGGCCGCACTTTAACCAGTATTGGCTTACTACTAGCAACACTGCTGCACTTTAAGAACTGCAGATACGATTAGTTTTTGCACTTTCGATATTGCGAATCTAGTGAAGTGTCTTAACAGCTATTATCCATGTGCTCCTCCATTTCCTTGTATGTACTATTATTGCTGTTAATTAACTGTGGAAAGGACAGGGGACGAAGCGGGCTGGAGATCCTGAGAAATAATGGAGCGGGGGGGGGAGAGACAAGGGGAACGGAAGTTTATGGCAAACTAAGATCTCAGCAAACCAAATACCCAACAATGAATTGCAAGCTGAGATTCAGAGATGGAATGTGGCATGGAGGGGGGAGGGTGTTCCACTAGCCGAGGGGCCCCCATAGAAGTGGTGGTGGGGAAGGGGAGATGCGGGAAAAGGAGACCAATAATTCGGCCTAGGGATCGTGTATCAACCTTAGTAATTCCAAACTGGTCTCCTAACATGGTAAATTGGTGTAACCAGGATGGCGGTCCCTCTGGATTGAAGGTGGTGCTGTTGAACGCCAGATCTGTCAATGGAAAAACAACTTTCATCCAGGATTTAATCCTGGATGAACAGGCAGATCTGGCGTGCATCACTGAGACCTGGCTGGACGAGGCTGGAGGTGTGAATTTGACCCAGCTCTGCCCGCCAGGTTTTTCCGTGCAGCACCAACCGAGATCCGGAGGGCGGGGAGGGGTTGCAGTGGTCTATAGAGATTCCATATCTGACCAGGAGTCCCATCCCGCAGTCAACAAATTTTGAATGCGTCCACCTGAGGGTGGGTGACCGGGACAGAATAGGGATTCTGTTAGGTGTACCGTCCACCTCGCTGCACTACAGTCTCCCTGCCTGAGCTAGCGGGGGTGGTCTCGGGCCTGGCATTGGAGTCTCAACGGCTGCTTGTGCTGGGGGACTTCAATGTCCATGCCGAGGCCCCCTTATAGGGAGCGGCTCAGGACTTCATGTCTGCCATGGCAACCATGGGGCTGTCCCAACAGGTATCTGGCCCTACTCATAGTGCAGGACATACATTGGACTTGGTTTTCTGCCAGGGATGGGAGGAAGGTGGCGGGGTCGAGGAGCTGACCATCTCTCCGTTGCCATGTACCCCTAACCTCTGCAGAGGTGGAGGACCCATTAAGTTGGTCCGCCCCAGGAGGCTTATGGATCCGGATGGATTCCTGATGGCTCTTGGGGAGTTTCCCGCCGCCTCGGTAGGTGATCCTGTCGAGGCCCTGGTCGCTCTCTGGAATGGGGAGATGACTAGGGCAATTGACACGATCGCTCCGGAACGTCCCCTCTCAAGTAGCCGAGCTAAACCAGCTCCTTGGTTCACCGAGGAGCTGGCAGCGATGAAGCGAAAGAAGAGGGAACTAGAGAGCGTGTGGCGTTCGGATCCGAGCAAGCCAAACCGAACACGGTTTGTGTCCTTCTTAAGGGCATATGCCGCGGAAAGCTTTCTTTGCGGCCACTATTGCGTCTGCAAAGAACCGTCCGGCTGAGCTGTTCCGAATTGTCAGAGGCCTTTTAAATCCCACCACTCAAGGTGGGAACCCTGACAATTCGACCTCTCGCTGTGAAGCTTTTGCTCAGTTCTTTGCAGACAAAGTCGCTTTGATCCGTTCTGGTCTGGATACCATGTTAATGGCAGTCTCTGAGGATGTAACACGAGCACCTGCTTGTCCTATTTTGATGGATTCATTTCAATTGGTGAAACCCGAGGATGTGGACAAGATACTTGGAGGAATGAGGCCTACCACGTCCATCCTGGACCCCTGCCCATCCTGGCTTCTAAAGGAGGCCAGAGGGGGATTGGCTGAGTGGGTTGAGGTGGTGGTTAATGCCTCCCTTCGGGAAGGCAAGATTCCAGCGAGCTTAAAACAAGCTATAATAAAACCGCTGTTGAAAAACCATCACTGGACCCCACTCAAATTGGACAACTATCGGCCTGTTTCCAATCTCCCCTTTTTGGGCAAAGTCCTGGAACGTGTGGTGGCCTCTCAACTCCAGGCATTCTTGGTAGACACGGATTATCTAGACCCGGCACAGTCTGGCTTTAGGCCGGGACATGGTACCGAGACAGCCTTGGTCGCCTTAGTGGATGATCTGCGCCGGGAGCTTGACAGGGGGAGTGTGTCCCTGTTGGTGCTGCTGGACCTCTCAGCGGCCTTCGATACCGTCGACCACGGTATCCTTCTGGGACGCCTCAGGGGAGTCTTGGAGGTACTGTTTTGCAGTGGCTCCGGTCATTCCTAGAGGGTCGATCTCAGAAGGTGTTGGGAGACACCTGTTCAACCCCACAACCGTTGTCTTGTGGGGTTCCACAGGGCTCAATGCTGTCTCCCATGTTGTTTAACATCTACATGAAGCCGCTGGGAGATCATCCGGAGTTTTGGGGTACGGTGTCATCTGTACGCAGATGATGTCCAACTCTGTCACTCCTTCCCGCCTGCTACTAAGGAGGCTGTCGAGGTCCTGAACCGGTGCTTGGCCGCTGTGACGGTCTGGATGGGGGCGAACAAATTGAAATTGAATCCAGACAAGACAGAGGTACTCCTGGTCAGTCGCAAGGCCGAACAGGGCATAGGGTTACAGCCTGTGTTAGACGGGGTCGCACTCCCCCTGAAGACACAGGTTCGCAGTTTGGGTGTGATCCTGGACTCATCGCTGAGCCTGGAACCCCAGGTTTCGGCGGTGACCAGGGGAGCATTTGCACAGTTAAAACTTGTGCGCCAGCTGCGCCCGTACCTTGGGAAGTCTGACTTGGCCACGGTAGTCCACGCTCTGGTTACATCCCGCCTAGACTACTGCAATGCTCTCTACGTGGGGTTGCCTTTGAAGACGGCTCGGAAGCTTCAACTAGTCCAACGCTCGGCAGCCATGATTCTAACAGGAGCGGAACGCAGGGAGCATACAACCCCCCTGTTGCGCCAACTCCACTGGCTACCGATTTGCTACCGGGCTCGATTCAAAGTGCTGGTGTTGACCTTTAAAGCCCTAAATGGTTCCGGCCCAAGCTACCTATCCGACCGCATCTCGGCCTATGAACCCACCAGGACTTTGAGATCTTCCGGGGAGGCCCTGCTCTCGATCCCGCCAGCTTCACAAGCACGGCTGGCAGGGATGAGAGATAGGGCCTTCTCAGTGGTGGCTCCCCGGCTGTGGAACGCCCTTCCTACAGACATTAGATTAGCACCATCTCTAATGGTATTCCACAAAAAAGTAAAGACCTGGTTATTTGCGCAGACGTTCGAATAAATAGTGCAATGATTGGTCATGACATAGGAATGGAACAATGGATGACGAATCTGGATCGTGATTTTAGTGATGAGACGCTAGTGAATGGTTATTATAGTAATTGTGTATTAACTATGTATTAGATTAGGTCGTTAATTGTTTTTATATTGGTGCATTGAATTTTTGCTGTTTGTTGTGTGTTGTGAACCGCCTCCGGGCTGAGAACTGCAGTATAGAAGCAAAATAAATAAATAAATAAATAAAATGCAGAAGCCTCTGTCTTTTCAATTCTTCCTAGGTCTTCTTGAAGATCTAACATAACCACAAAAGAAACTAAACAGTGCCATCTTGATCTAGCCCCCTTTGTTTTAGCAGCTTCTATATCTGTCCTCTTTTTCTTTTAGCATATATCAAATTAGGTAAAGATTGCTTGAAAGACATTTCTTTTCCTTGATGTCTGAAAAGAGTTCTGTTCTTGCCATTATTTATTTATTTATATCCCACTTTTATCTCTTTATTGGGACACATAGCATCTCACAGCATGAATATTAGGCTTCAGAACATGATGTTAAAAATACAGGATCTGAAATTAGCTTTTTTTCTGAAGAAATAAAAAAAAACCCTCAACGTCTAGCAATACCCTCAAAATGTATTGCTATTGGCTTGGTGTTAATAGACTGATTTATAATGTATCAGATATACAATTTCCCCCATACATTATTTCCTTGTTACAATTAATTAGAAGGGATTTTCCCTTCAAGGAATGGTTATAATAGAAGGTACTTACTGTCTGCTGGATAATTCTTGGTTGTTCAGGTACAGCAGGAGGAAGAGGAGGCGGGGGAGGAAGAGGAAGGGGGGGAGGAGGGGTTTGGTAGATATGTTCTGATCTGATGGGCATTCTTTGGATTCTGGGCAAACTGTGTGGGAGTGAAAATTCATCCAAAAGATTTTGCTCCTGCAAATTCACATACAGATAGACCCACATTACCAATTGGATACCTTCACTACAGGAAACCTACTTATAATATATATCTTTTTTCCAACGTGCGCATTGTCCTATCAAATTTAAAATTTCATTAACATATAAAAGGTAAAGGTTGACATTAAGTCCAGTCATGTCTGACTTGGGGTGTGGTGCTCATCTCCATTTCTAAACCAAAGAGCCGGCGTTCTCCATAGACACCTCCAAGGTCATGTGGCCAGCATGACTGCATGGAGTGCCGTTACCTTCCCGCCGGAGCGGTACCTATTGATCTACTCACATTTGCATGTTTTCGAATTGCTAGGTTGGCAGAAGCTAGGGCTGACAGCGGAAGCTCACGCCGCTCCCCGGAATCGAACCTGCTACCTTTTGGTCAACAAGCTCAGCAGCTCAGCGCTTTAACCCACTGCACCACCGAGGACTCCCCATTAACATATATTTCAGTGCAAAAACAACTAGGAATATATGAAGGAAGAATATCACTAATCAGTAAAACTGTGGTGCAGCATTATGGGGGCTATTTCGCATCTCCAGATTACATCCTGAATATTGAATACAATCAACCGACCACATTTGCTGGGGTTACATGCATAAGATCCCTGTGAAAGTGAAAAACTACCAATAAAGAAATAGTTATTGATTTACCTGATGGAACATTTCTCTAGAAAGGGTGTTGGACTAGATGGCCTTTGTGCTGAATAAATGGGGTTACACTCCCTCTGAAGGCGCAGGTTCGCAGCTTGGGAGTTCTCCTGGACTCAAAGAGGTAGATTCTTTTGACTTCATGTTATCTCAGCCCCGTGGTTTGTAAATCGGATGTTTGTAACTCAGGAATTGTCTGTACAAGCCTGCCTGGTGTTGTTTATTGATTATCTGCCAGAGAACTGTTAACACTAGCTTTACTTAGGCTTAATCTACACTGCCCTATATCCCAGGATTGGATCCCAGATTTTCTGTTTTGAACTGGATTATATGAGTCTACACTGACAGATCATCTGGGATCAGATCCTGGGATATAGGGCAATGTAGATCCAGCCCTATTGTGTATCTGAAGTGGAATTCCTATTTTATTAGTGATTTATTTTTACAAGACTTCTGCGGGAAGTTGAACAGATATCACTGAGCCCTCTTCCACACAGCTGAATAAAATCCCACATTATCCCATTTGAACTGGAATATATGGAACTTTGGACTCAGATAAGCCAGTTCAAAGCAATATGGTAACATTTTCTGCCTTGATAATCTGGGTTATATGGCTATGCAGAAGGACTTTGAGTCTTTTCAGATTCCCTTGCCACTGGAAGAGGGTCAATCTGTGACATTTACCTAAGAGTGGCTATCCCATCCACATCAAGCTTTCAGCACATATTTGGAAGTTCATAAATGAGTTTCAGATCATGCTATATGTGCTATCGTACGCTGGGCCTATGACAATGTCTGTTTACAGGACATGCTTTCTGTATGCCCAACTGGATGCCGGGGGTGCCTCAGCTAAAGAGTCTCATAGGTTTCCCAACACAAAGTTCTGTAGAGGCTCAAAGTAAGTCCAACAAAGTTCTTTATTATGGCTTAAATCTTCAAACAAGTGAATTAAATGCTTTATAATCTTAAAAAGCGGGTAGCTTTCTCAATCTGCTATCAAGGGAGGCTACTGTTGGTAAACTGTTCCTTTCTTCTTTAGGGAAACCTTCCGACCCCTCCTTGGGCAACCTTTCTTTACCTTGCTGGCGTGAGGCCCCCACTCCCGGCTCCAAACCGCTTTATGGATAGCCTGAGTGACCCTTACCAGATAAGGTCTTTGTAGATCTGCCAAGCTGGTGTCCTGTAGATTTGCCCCACGAAGGCCGTGGAACCATTCCTTTATTTTTCAGCAAAGCTGGCTATATTTCCCCAGCAAAAGCCATGGAACTGCAACTTTACTCCCTAGCAAAGCTGTGGAGGTTTTTCTTTTTTCCCAGCAAAGCTGGCTGTAGATCTATTTCTTTCACCCCAGCAAAGCTGTAAGAAGTGAAGCTTTTTGCAGGCGGGAAAGAGAAAGCCCACACGTCCTGCTGTAGGGCTTCAAACTGTGAAACTGAGACTAAAAGTCCCCTTTTCCCTCCGAACCTGGGGAAAGGGGCAAATCTAAAGGCTCTAACAATGATTGATAGGTTGTTGGCCCTATGACTGCAACCTGGGGAAAGCTACCCAATTGCAAAATGCATGGCCCAAACAAACTCAAACAAACAAGCAATACAAGAAAAGGAAATTCAAACTCCTGGCACTGCCGTGCCAGCACACTATATATTTAGTGTAACATGTAGTTTAATTAATTGTATTGGAGATTTTATGAATGGCTTCATGCACAACTATTCTAGGGACTAACAAGTACATATATTCTCAAAGATTCTGAAATAAATATACTACTCTAGCAATCCCCACACATTTTTGCACAGGACTAAGTCCTTATTGCACATGTCACCTTGAGATAAGTGTACAGCATATACAATCACAGTCTGTGTGGTTTATTAAGATTTATTAAAGAAAATATTGTAAGCATTGCCTGGATCATACCCTGAGTTTCTGCAGAAGATCTTTTCTTCGTTTCATTGCACTCTGTAAAGTATGATTATAGCCACCATAGTTCCCTGCAAAAACATTGAAGAAACTTAGTTCCTTTATTTACAGGTAATTTTAACTGTTTTAATATTTTTTAGAAAATATAGAAAAAGAGGATGAATGAAGAGTGAGAAAAGAAGACAACAAAGAAGAAAAGAGGAAAGCATGCTAAACGTTAAGTTAGAGAAAAAGAAGTTTTATGACTGAATCAACCAAGTCACTCTATAATTTCTTTTAATAACATCTGATATATGTCTAAACTAGCACGTGCACCTTTTTCTGGTTTATTATGATCTGACCCATTTAAAACTTCTCTTCAAGCTTGTTCAGGACCAGGACTGTAGTTTGTTGTTGCTTTCTGGGTGGATAAGGCCAGTACCTTCAACCAGGGCCGTAGCCAGAAAACAATTTCGGGAGGGGTTGAAAATTTCAGGGGGGGGGTTGAAACCTGCCTCCTAGCTCACGCTGAAGCAAAGAGCACAGCAGGGGCAGAGCAGCCTTCAATAGCCTGCAACTCCGCCCCTGTCAACCACCTCCACCAAGTCTGGCCTCCTTAATGAGAGCATTCAACACACACACACCCAACTTGGTTGCTTCACTACATCGGCTATTGCTGCAAGTAATGACAGTGTGAATAAATTGTCAATATTTAAGGCCTTGCATGGTCTGGGGCCGATGTACCTGAGGGACCGCCTCACCCCCTACTAACCCCAGAGATCCCTCCGTTCTGAGGACCAAGATCTATTGGAAATTCCCAGTGTCAAGACCTTGCGTCTAACAGCAACCAGACGCAGAGCCTTTACAGCAGTGGCACCATCACTCTGGAATACTCTGCCACCTGAAGTCCGTGCCTTGCGGGACTTATCAGCTTTCCGCAGGGCATGTAAGACATATCTGTTTCAATGGGACTTTGATCTCTGATATTGCTGTTTTTAAATTGTTTTAAATTGTTTTTAAATTGTGTTCGATTTTAGCCTGTTCTTGTAAGCCGCTCCGAGCCCCAGGGGAGTGGCGGCATATAAGTTTAAATAATAAATAAATAAATATTTGCTTGAGATAGTGCTTGCAGTTCTGGAGGGACTCTTAATTTTTTGCATCTCATGGACATAGCATGGGGATTTGGTTAACCAGTTAAAATTCATGAGTAAATTGGGTTTTTTAAAAAAATCTGAAACATTTCGGGGGGGTTGAACCCCTAAAACTCCCCCCTCGCTACAGGCCTGCCTTCAACCTACATGATTACCTCCTTCTTCATTATAGCAATGTCTTAAGGCTTTCCAGACAGGCCCTATATCCCAAGATCTGATCCCAGGTTTTCTGCTTTAGCAGATAATCTACAATATCTGCTTTGAACTGCGTTATCTGAGTCCACACTGCCATATAATCCAATTCAGTGTGGATTTTATACAGCTATGTGGAAGGGGGCTTTGAGACAATGAACATGTTAAACAGAATGACCACCTGATGTTGTTGTGTGTCTTTAGGTTGTTTCTGACTTAGGGTGACACATAGGCCCCTTCCACACAGTTGTATAAAATCAGTTTGTTTTTTGACACTTCAATTCCTAAACAAATACAAACAGCTTTAGTTCTTACATGTTGCAGATAAAGGAAATTCGAACTCATCCAAGTTTTCAAATTCATTTTCTAGTTTCTGTGGATCAAAATAAAGTGAAGCTTAACAAAAAGCCAGGAATCTAATTGCTTTAAACAAGTGCTTTAAAATTATTGAATTAAAAAAAAAAGAAAGAAATGTGAAAAGAAGGGGGTAAATACAAGGAAGTACAATGAATTATTATTATTTTATGGACACAAAAGCACAGTATGTCACAGCAAACGAGATCTATATGCTGGATTTCGTATCACATAATCACAAGTCAAACACTTCCCAAGCATCTAGGACTGTGTGATGCATTTTCGAATGATGCACGCAGATCCAAGTAAGGTGGCCTTTTGCAGTTGACACATCATGATTTTGTTGATGTTTATTGTTTCCAAATGCCTGAAACAATTATTATTATTATTACTAGCCATCCCCTGCCACACGTTGCTGTGGCCCAGATGGGGGTTCTGTGTGGGAGGATTGGCCCAATTCTATCGCTGGTGGGATTCAGAATGTTCTGTGATTGTAGGTGAACTATAAATCCCAGCAACTACAACTCCCGAATGTCAAGATTCTATTTTCCCCAAACTCCACCAGTGTTCACATTTGGGCATATTGAGTATTTGTAGAGTTTGGTCCAGATCCATCATTGTTTGAGTCCACAGTGATCTCTGGATGTAGGTGAACTACAACTCCAAAACCAAAGGACACTGCCCACCAAACCCTTCCAGTATTTTCTTTTGGTCATGGGAGAACTGTGTGCCAAGTTTGGTTCAATTCCATCGTTGGTGGGGTTCAGAATGCTCTTTGATTGTAGGTGAACTATAAATCCCAGCAACTACAACTCCCAAATGACAAAATCAATTTTTAGTGAAGGACATACATTGGGTTGTTAGGTGTCTTCTGTCCAAATTTGGTGTCAATTCGTCCAGTGGTTTTTGAGTTCTGTTAATCCCACAAACGAACATTAAATTTTTATTTATATAGATTATTATTATTATTTATGCCCCACTTTATCTCTTCCATCCTCTTGCTTCTGCTGCTGCTCCCACCTTTGCGGCCCTCCCTCACCCACCCATCCTCCCTTGCTCATTCCTCACTGGGCCAAGTCCTGGTTCTGCCACTGGGACTTGGCCTGGTGAGTAGTAAGTGAGCGAGGGAGGATGGGTGAGTGATCAAGGGAGAGCCACAAAGGTGGAAGCAGTGGCAGAAACAGGATCCTGGAAGAGGTGGCCAGGCTCCTGCTTCTGCTGCTGCCCTTGCCCCCCTCCCTCGCTCACTCACTCACCTGCTCTCCCTCGCTTACTCACGCATTGGGCTGGCTCCTGGCGGCAGAACCAGGACTCAGCCTGGTGAGTGAGCGAGCAATGGAGGAAAGGGTGAAGGAGCAAGTGAGGGAGGCCGGCAAAGGCGTCGGCGTCAGATAATACAGTGTCAGATAAGCAGAAGTCAGATAACCGGGTCTCTACTGTAGCTGTTTTTAATGTGTGTGTGTGTGTGTTGTGTTTATTGCCAACACAGGTAGAATAATATCACACTCCATCACCATTTCAGAATACATATCAAATATTATTTTCTTAGTGTTCTTATCCTTGCCTATTCCACCTTTATTTCCCACTTGTGTCTATCGATTTAACTCCACTCCCCCCATCCCTCTGTTTTGTTTTGAGAGAAATGCCCTGGCTAGCTGGCACTAGGAACCATCTCAAAGATATCTGAAATTGGACTAATAGGTTTTTGTACCTGCAAGGAAGCAGAGGAGCAGAAAGTGATTTATTGTATATTTCTTTAAATTCTGCCACCAACGCGAGGTATGAGGTTTTACTATGAGATATGGCACTATTACTATGTTGTGCTATTGTAATTTTAGAGTTATTTTTATTTTGGTAGCCAGATTTTGTTCATTCAAAGGAGGAAACCATGAAAATGAACAAAATCTGGCTACCAGTATTAAAAAACTCTAAAATTACAACAGCACAACAACAGAGAGGAAACAAACAAGGACATCTAATCACCTCTCAACAAAAGTTTGCTCTAGGCACTGTCAGGCCATTATATGCGAATCAAGGTGGTCAGTTGAAACATTCACACCTAGCTCCAGCAGACAAGAGTCCTTTGTCCCACCCTGGTCATTCCACAGATATATAAACCCTTTTTCCTAGTTCCAACAGACCTCACTACCTCTGAGGATGCTTGCCATAGATGCAGGCAAACATCAGGAGAGAATGCCTCTAGAACATGGCCATACAGCCCGAAAAAACCTACAACAACCCAGTGATTCCGGCCATGAAAGCCTTCGACAAGACTGTGATAACGTCTAGTTCATTGTTGTCTCTTGAGTAAATGATATGAAACAAGTAGTTTTATGGGAGAGTATCTTTTTGGGCACTGAAAGAAAAACACTTCTAAAGCTCTACTGTTTTTAATGCACTGGCAAATCTCTGTTTTCCTGACAGATCAGAGATTGCTAACAAGTTATTCAGCCTAACAACTGAAACCATTGCCTACCATAATTATGTGTTTGTATGCAATAAGAGGAGATTCTGCTCTAAAGGGTTTTTTGGCTCTTCTCTAAAAGGTTATGTTCTCTAATAAAATGTTGGATGGTAATGGTGCTAACTGCCATTTTGATAGATAAAGCACATGAATCATAGAATCATAGAGTTGGAATAGACCTCATGGGCCGTCCAGTCCAACCCCCTGATGAGAAGCAGGAAAATCGCATTCAAAGCACCCTGCAGGAGAAAAGTAAATCCTGTGGGAAGGAAGACATTTTTTAATTTATTTACTGTACTCTATTTCTACCCCACTCTTCTCACCCCGGAGGGGACTCAGAGCAGCCTATAAAAATGGCAAGATTCAATTCTGCATTACAATGTAAATAAGCAAATAGACATAATAAAATAATAAAAGCAGGTAAAAGCATATACATCCAATTAAAACTATTAAAAACATCTCTGAAGCATATACATCCAATTAAAACTATTAAAAACCTCCATCTCTGAAGCCAAGAAAGAACAGTGGATCAAGTTGATCACAGAGGTCGACATGGGCAGGAGCAGCCAGAAGGCGTGGAGGCTGCTGAGACGGCTGAGCAATGACCCCTCACAAACTAATACCCATGCCAACATAAAGGCAGATCAGATAGCACACCAACTCTTGAAGAATGGGAAACCCAACCTTGCCACCAAAGTAGGAAAGAAACCAATAGCCAGACAACAAGAGATTGAGAACAACAACCTTCATGAACCCTTTACATCTACTGAATTGGACATGGCTCTCAATAAATGTAAGAAGGGCAAAGCAGCTGGCTTGGATGATCTACGGATGGAACAAATCAAGAACTTTGGACCAAAAGCAAAGTGCTGGCTGCTGGAGCTGATGAACAACTGCACTGCATCCTGTCAGATCCCCAAAATCTGGAGGAAAGCAAGAGTCATCGCCATCTTGAAGCCAGGCAAAGACCGTAATGACCCAAAAAGCTACAGACCAATCTCCCTGTTGTGCCACCTCTACAAAGTTCTGGAGAGACTTATTTTGCATAGAATTATGGAAAAAATAGACCCCTGTCTGATCCCACAGCAAGCTGGCTTCAGAAAGGCAAAAGCTGCACATCGCAAGTGCTGAACCTGACTCAGCACATAGAAGATGGCTTTGAAAGGCAGCAGATCACAGGAGCTGTCTTCATAGACTTGTCAGCAGCCTATGATACTGTGAACCACCGCCTCCTCCTGAGAAAAATGTATAATATCACAAAGGACTACCACCTCACCCGCCTCATAGGAAACCTGCTACAAAACAGGAGCTTCTTTGTTGAGTCCCAGGGCCAGAGAAGCAGATGGCGGAAACAGAAGAACGGCCTGCCTCAGGGGAGCGTGCTTGCTCCATCCATGTTCAACATCTACACAAATGACCAGCCACTGCCAGAAGGGACAGAGAGTTTCATCTATGCTGATGATCGTGCCATTACTGCTCAAGCAGGGAGCTTTGAGATGGTTGAACAGAAGCTCTCGGAAGCTCTAGGTGCTCTTACTGCCTATTACAGGGAAAACCAGCTGATCCCTAACCCATCTAAAACACAGACATGCTTTTCATCTCGAGAACAGACAAGCATCCCGAGCTCTGAGGATTACCTGGGAAGGAATCCCACTGGAGCATTGCAGCGCACCCAAATACCTGAGTCACTCTGGACCGTGCTCTGACCTACAAGAAGCACTGCCTGAACATCAAGCAAAAAGTGGGCGCTAGAAACAATATCATACGAAAGCTGACTGGCACAACCTGGGGATCACAACCAGACACAGTGAAGACATCTGCCCTTGTGCTATGCTACTCTGCTGCTGAGTATGCATGCCCAGTGTGGAACACATACCACACTAAAACAGTAGATGTGGCTCTTAATGAGACATGCCGCATTATCACAGGGTGTCTGCGCCCCACACCACTGGAGAAATTACACTGCTTAGCCGGTATTGCACCACCTGACATCCGCCGGGAAGTAGCAGCCAATAGTGAAAGGACCAAGGCAGAGACATCTCCAGCTCATCCCCTGTTTGGCTATCAGCCAGCACGTCAACGACTTAAATCAAGACATAGTTTTCTTAGATCTACAGAGACACTCGCTGGAACACCCCAGCAAGCGAGAGTCCAAAAGTGGCAGGCCCAAACCCAGCACCTCACCATGGGTGATACCAGATGAGAGACTCCCCCCTGGGCACACAGAAGACTGGGCGACTTGGAAGGCGCTGAACAGACTGCGCTCTGGCACCACGAGATGCAGAGCCAATCTTAAGAAATGGGGCTACAGGGTGGAATCCTCGGCATGCGAGTGTGAAGAAGAACAAACCACAGACCACCTGCTGCAATGCAACCTGAGTCTGCCACATGCACGATGGAGGACCTTCTTGCGGCAACACCAGAGGCACTCCAAGTGGCCAGATACTGGTCAAAGGACATTTAACCAACTACCAAGTTTGCAAAATCTGTGTTGTTTTTTTGTTTTTGTTTTTTTTAATCTGTGTGTTTGTTCTGTTCTGTTAGAATTGTAACACAATGGTATGGTTGCTGATGACACAATAAATAAATTAAAAACATAGAATCATAGAGTTGGAAGAGACCTCATGGGCCATCCAGTCCAACCCTCTGTCAAGAAGCAGGAATACTGCATTCAAAGTACCCCCGACAGATGGCCATCCAGCCTCTGTTTAAAAGCTTCCAAAGAAAGAGCCACACTCCGGGACAGAGAGTTCCACTGCTGAACAGCTCTGAACAGCTCTCAATGACTATATGGTAAAGAACTATCTGTGCATGCCAAAACTACACATCTCTTGCTACTGTGGAAAAGCAGTAGCGTGGGAAGCTAATCTCTGGCCAATACTGTAAAAATATAACTTACCTTCTTAAGAAGTTTGACTTTCAGCTGTGCCAAGTGATCAGCCACGTCAGAGTCCGCCATTGTCTTAAAATTCCAAGGCAATAGACTGATCAAATAACAAATAAAATTCCGTGTAATATGTGCAGCCTCTTCTTTTCTCCACCATACTTATCAAAAATTTCCATTGAGTTTTTCTTTGTCAGGCTATTATTGCGAGGAAAAGGGGAAACATCTCATCCTCAGTCTCTTTCTGTCTCATGCCTGTTGGCTTGTACACTCAGTATGGTTACTAAGATGTTGCTTCAACAACACAGATTTTCTTAAGAGCTTTCTCATTGTAAAATCACTAAGCCCAGCCCTTTGTGCTGCTCCCAGGCTCAATAACTCTAATAAGATCAGCTAACATGGTTACTATGTTTGCATTTTCTACAGTCTAAACAAAACTGCAAGTAAAGGCACTAACCTGAAACATATAATTTGCCCATCAGAAAGACCAAACCGGGTGGAACGATTCCAGTTTGTAAGTCTGGTGAAGTATTCCTGGGAAGAATTTCCCAAGCCATGCAACATGCTCCAGAAAATTCAAAGAGAAATCAGACAAAACAATTGAAATTATAAGAAGAGAGAAATAATGTAAAATCTTGTGTTTTCAAATATGTTTTTCTGCACACAAAGTACATTTATATTACAATTAGTGAATATATGTTGATTTCAAATATATTTTTATAAATTAAACACAGACAGTACACGAGGCTCCAGAAAATTGTTTAAAGATAGCTTCTTTAACTGGTAAATATTTTGAATTTCTGACAATATACTAGGAATATACTAGGAAGATTTATAGAACTCCATACTGTTCAGAGTATAAACTTTACCTAGCATTGTCATACTTGAGGCTTAGATATGCTTTCAGCACTAAAGAATATACATCATCATACAATCTTCTATACACATAATAAAAGTGAAAATATGTATGTGTGTGTAGCTGGGGTGTCCACTTACAGATAAGCTCCTGCCTCCACAAACAGTTATAGCTTCCGCTACTCAGGAGACACCAAAGGCCCTCCCTCCGATGACATTTCAGGTTATAGTGAGCGCCACGAACATGTATAAGAGCCCTGCCAATGTCCTCCACAAACACAATACTGCCCACCACCCAAGTGAAGACTTTCATACAGGACAATTTTATCTTAGATTTTATATGTTTCCAACACCACAGACATTCCAGTGTTTCTTACTCTCTCCCAGCTGGAGGGAGGCATGGCTGATTTAGGCACGCCTCAGCCAATAGGGAAGCCAGCGCCGCTTTGGCCTCTTGGCCAATGGAAATTGAGGAGACGGAAACAGCAGGAAACAATGAATCGAGAGGAAAAATGAGTGGATTATTGTGACTTAATGTGTTGTCCGATGGCCGGTAATAATCCGGAGATTTCTCAACCTGGCCTGGCATTATCCTGAGAGGTGGTCAGATGAAGCATTCACACCTGCCTCCAACAGACAAGAGTCCTTTGTCCCACCCTGGTCATTCCACAGATATATAAATCCATTTTCCTAGTTCCAACAGTCCTCACTACCTCTGAGGATGCTTGCGAAACGTCAGGAGAAAATGCCTCTAGAACATGGTCATATAGCCCAAAAAGAACCCTACAACCCAGTGATTCCAGCCATGAAAGCCTTCGACAATACATAGAAATAAATATTTCACAATATGTAATTATATATTGTTTTTGTGATTTATCATTATGCTTTATGTTCAGTTTGTAAGAATGAAAACACATCCTGCCTATCAGATATTTACATTACGATTCATAGCAGTAGCAAAATCACAGTTGAGAAGTAGCAATTCCTCTAGAATTCCTCTAGATTCCTGTTTCCTTTCCCATATATTTTTCCTTGGCCCTGGCATGGACAATGAGACCTGGAATCCTTATTTGGTTCCAGGATGAAGACCATTAGGCTGGAATGTCTTTGGCACACCTTTTGACCACCTTCACAATAGGGGCGAGATGACCCTCGGGGGGCCGTCTTCCCAATTTTACTTATTCCATTCAAAACCCAGACCTTTCCCCAAGCCAACCTTTTGTGCCCTATCTGATTGTGGCATCATCGCAAATCCACTCA